TCAATTGAAAATATCTGGAGAGAAGTCGAAGCCCTAAGGGGGCAGAAGGGCGAGCTTGCCTACATAGCCATCTAGTGGCTTGACTGTGAAGGTGTATAGGTAGATTCATCAATCATACCTTTCGAGTAAGTCGTGCATAGGCCCCTACGTTTATATGCTCACAGAAAAGACACCATGTCAGAATTCTGTAGCCTATCGCAACACCTGTATTTCTCAAAGTGGTTTAATGTTTCACTAACAGATAGTGACAAACCTAGGATATCAAGACTAAGAGATTCTAGACTAGTCTTGATATTCTAGGTTCATCACTATCTGTTAGTGAAAAATCAAACCACTTCGAGGAATACAGGTGTTGCGATAGGCTAAAAAATTCCGACATGGTGTCTTCTCTGTAAGCCTATATGCACGACTAACTCGCAAGGTATGATTGATGAATCTACCTATACACCTCTGCACTTAAGCCACTAGATGACTATGAAGGCCAGATCGTTCTTCTGCCCCCTCAATATATGGAGGTACCCTTCGTGAATCGATTGTCAGCTGGCCAGTGCATCTGATGAGACCTATGGCAATTCGAAACAGTCTGTCTTGCATCAGCTGACGATCGATTCATGAAATATCCATAGAATTTTTCAGTCTTGACATTCTAGGTTTATTATATCTAAAGAGGTTGATCTGTAGAGCAGGAAATCAACTAGGTGCTCGGAAACAACATTCCATCACCAGTTATGTAATATTCTACTTTACGCAACTGGTCACGTGCAGTAGGACGTTTCAAACAAAAAAAGTTTCGAAAAGTTCCAAATTGAATGTCAAAATTGGAAGAATGATATTTCTCAAACTATAGACTCAACCAAGTTCCATGTTAACACAGAAAATTTTCAACATGGAATCAGAACGCTGAATTGATCGTTTTATTCCGATTGGGAAGAAAGTTCAGGTCATGAGGAAGTGAGTTCTCAATGGCATAGCTATTGATGTGCCCTTCTCACGTCGAGAAACTTCTTCGAATAATGAATTGAAATATGCAAAATTCTCCTAATCAGCTATCCTAAAATTAATAAGAAAGCGGAGACATATGATTTCAGTCATTCAGCATCAAACTTTTCTGCTAAATTTTTATCATGATATGTTTTATTTTGTATTGTTAATAGCACTGACACACCCGTTCACTCAACACTTCAGAGACGAATCATTGTTTAATTCCACGGTATATAAATCGATTCACTTCAAGAACAGAACAAAAACATACACATTATAGACTGGGAATTCGGAAATTATGGATAAATATAGTAACAACATTTGACGGTTAATTTCCTGACGAAGAATTGAGAAAAACACCAGAGAGGGTAGTTTTTTTGCAAGAAAATGTGTCAAAATTGCCAGAAAATGTTGATACACATCATTTTGTGTCTGTGAATTCTCGCTTGATCTATCGAAGCACACCCATGAGTTTTTTCCATGTGAAAGACTGTGTGTATTCAGTGCGACTCCATAGCAATTCAGGTGAAAGCAACAAGAGTTCATGACTTGTCAAAATCACAGTCTCACTGAGTTTCGTCGTCTACACTGAGGAAAATCAAGTAATACAAGTTTTTCTTCAGAAAAAATATATTGACTGCTAATTGACATATTCCAAACACTAAATTTTATCTCATGAGCGCGAAATGTCAACATTTTCAACGTGAAACAGGTTACCCTTCCAGAACAATCTCTTTGTTACAACAAGGTTACCTTTGTGACTCATTATAGGACTAGATTATGTTCATAAGAGGAAACTGAAGAGAGAATCATTCAACTTCTGGAAGATGTCTTTTCACAGTTGAATACCTGTCAATAAGTTTTACTTCTACCTCTATGAAACCATCTTTGTCATACACGTATGCCTCAATGATTCCTCTCACCCACCATATGAACTCTTGGTCAGTTTATAATGGAATGATGTTTAGTCGTTTCCACATTCCTGATGTTATATGACATGTTAGCTTTGTAGCCAGATAGCATTTGAACTCTTGGTAGGGGGTGATATTGTTTTTTGCCGAGAAAGTGATGTTGTTGAAAGATTTCTTTAGAGAATTGAGAACATTGATAATTATATAGGTTAACCCCAAGTAGAATTCGTTGAGGAATTACAGGATGTAGAAGTGCATAAAAGAGTTATAGTGTTTTCACGATATATTGGTGAGTATATCTATCAGAATCAAATTCTCCTTTCCCGGCTTTTCTTTGATGAGTATTTACTAAAGTGGCAAAAGCTATGGAAGGAATATCATTGATAGGATCGTATTGCTCATATATATTCCTCAATTCATATAATTTTATGTGCTGCTTCAGAGTTCAGGAGAAGTTTAGCCAACAATTTCTCAGGAGAAACAGTTCACAGTAATAAAAATCGATTCCTACACCCTAATTCAATGACGCCACTGTGTACATTTTTGTCACTTTGTGAATCATCTAAGGTAGTGAAAAAAAAAGTACATGACAAATTGAAACAATTTTTGTCTCAGGCTTATTAATGAGATATCGTGATCTGAGTATATCACAATTGAGCACTTCAATGACATCTATCAGGATTCAAATGATTATCTTTCAATTTCCATCTTTCAACTATAATCTTGTTCCATTTCAAATTCATATGGTAATTTTTCCAGAACGAAAAGAGTGATCTGAAAAGGTGACCTGTTTCACGTTGAGAACTTCGACTCTTCACGTTCATCAGATTACATTCCGTGGTTGAGATGTTTTATTCAGCAGTTATATGATGTTTTTGAATAGAGATTCGTATAACTAGATCTCTCTTGGTGCATGATAGACATCCTTATTTTGGACACACTGTCATTCAGGAGAACCATGCAACAGTTGATATCATAATCATGGGAGACTCCAATGTACACAACGCAGCCTGGCTTGGATTCTCTAACAAAACAGATGATGCAGGTCGTCAAACTGAGGCATTTTGCCATCACTCATGGTCTAGAACAACTATTTGAACTATCAACCTGCATTCCAGATATCAACAACCAGTCTGCCAATACACTAGATCTTTTTTTCACTTGTAATCCTGATCCATATAGAATAGAAGTTTTTGCCTCACTTGGAAACTCTTACCACACCCTCATCTCCACAACCTGCTCGTTCCATGTTCCATCCAGCACCACAACTCCTACCCGTCTCATGTGGCATTACAATTCGGCCGACTGGAAAGGTCTTCTTATGTTTTTTTCAACGTCACAATAAAGAAGTGTTTCTCCTCAGTAGATCCGACACAATGTGCTGAGACAATTTCTGGAATCATCATGTTGGGAATGCAAACCTACAGTCGTATTCAATAAAAAAGAGTACAAATATTCAAAAGAGAGGATTTCGGGATCCTAGTTCTAGCTGTGTGAAACTGGCTCTGCCAATGCTTTGTGTTTTCGAGATCCTCTTATAACATTACTGTCAACATTTGGTGGAAAATCATTCCCGATAGCCAGTTTTATGCAGAATAGAATGACGTTAGTTTCTCTCTGTTATATACTTGTACTCTTTTTTTTATGCAAATGTACATACCGAATACTGCGAGGAGAACATTCTCCGATAATGCCTGATTCAGTAGGAACTGCTCTAGAGCTGTCGCTTCCGAACAGGCATTATTCCAATGATGGCAGAAAAATCCAGGCCCTGAGACTAGAGCAGAATTTGTCGAGACTAGAGGCATATGCAATGAGACAATCCGATCATCAAAGAATGCTCATTATGCCAAAATAAGATCAAAACTTGTCGAATTTCCTAACGGATCCCGTTAATTTCGGTCTTTCGCCGAAGCTGTAGAAAGAAACTCCACTTCCAGCTTGTTTCCTCCTCAAACCAAGGAAGATGGAATACTAGTCACAACTGCCCAGGAGAAACACAACATTTCTGCGCATTCATTTGCTGGAGATTCCACTTTGGATTCATTGGAAAAACAACCTCCAAAAATAACGCCAATTGAGAATCATATGCTCGAGATCACCTTACACCAACGTACTATATAGATATACATTGAGAATATAAGAACGCTTGATGAAGGGTCATTTAGGTGCCTTCCTGACAGATCTCACCTATCCTACTGAAATGGAATTGTTCCCAATGAACATGGAATCAAATAATCAATTCATTTCTCAAACTATCAACGAAGGAGCATGAATCGTTCATTCCTGCTTTGTTGTCTGATTCTCAGGTGCAAGGAATGAGATGTCATAAAAAGGACATCATTCGGAAATCGTATCAGATTTATGCAGGAGTTGCATACAGTAAGTTCACATTGAATAATCACCTTTCTCATTCGATTTCTGAACGTAGTACACCAGCATTTTGACAAAATTGGATTCTATCCATGCAGATACCATATTTTCAGGATGGGTGACGATATTTTGCAGTGAAGAGCAGGCGGATATTTTCGAAACACTCAGAAATTTATATACATTTTCCAACGGAATATTCCTCCCACTGAAACACATCAAATATCTCTCGAATGGTTGAAGTGTGAGCACAAACAAGACATGAAATAGTTCTATCGAACCAAATAATGAACAAATTTCCGACTCCATCATTGAGAGAGTTGATTTAGTTGCTCCGGCCAGCTTAGATCGATATGCGGATGATACAGATGATGAAAACAGTTTAAACATCAGTTCACCCTCAAAAAATGGACTCATGGGACTACCGTTTGGGACATGCGACCGAAGGTCTGATGTGTAACAACGTTTCCGAATTCCCAGATTATTTGATAATATCTCGATTTTCAGGAAATAAAAGAATAATTCATTTAATAAATGATTGATAAATTAATTGATATGATCGATGGCATCAAGCAAACTATCGCCATCAATGTTTCTACTCCAATTTGTACATATATACAGTCTTATTTCCTGAATATCCACAACACTGATTTTCTGGATATGCCTCGATCAAGCAATTTTTCACTTATGAGTTTCTCAGAGATATCTTGGAGATGGCACAGTCGATTCACTCGAATATTAATGCTGCCTCCAACTGTTGGCCTTGTAGTACACATCCTTGTACATGCTAGGGCAATTTTTTCCATTCTGAAATATAAAGAGAAAAGCATCATTTATAGCATTACTCTCGGAAGATAAACATGGATATATACAATGGTCATCAGCATATCAATCACTTGTCTAAATCACCCCTGAAACATTCAATGTATGCAGGGTTCATTGAAAGTTTTCAATGTTTCAATTGAAATAATGATTTGAGTATTCAGAAAAAGGCGTATACAATATACAATCGATCTGAAATGCAGTCAGTAGACTGAGGAGTAGACATAAACTTCCTTATTACGAATTCGAATGAATCACCTTATATTTCATTCTATCATTAGATAATAACAATAATCATTCGAATCGTGATATCCCCGATTTATTTCGGTTTTATGATAGTGTAATAATATTATCAATATTCAGATTACTGCAGAATAGTCAATGGTCTGAAGATACTTCCACCGAGAACTTTCTTATGAAATTCCATCACTAGTCATACCAAATCTATATCCTCAGTCGACACATTCTTTCATCGGGTCTATCTATAGAACAGTGGAGCTGTCGAATCATTTGCTCAGTTGAGTATTCACGATAAATTTTAGCCTCGAAGAGGATTTCATGAACGCCCGATAACAGAAGAAAAAACTACATTCCTAGACAATACCACGCAGAACTTGGTTTCTTCGAATGAATTGAAATTCATTTCTCAAGTTCGACTGATGTTTGAATTTGATTCCACCATGAGAACATAATTTCTTGTTGGCTCTGGAAATGAATGTTTCGTCATTTCTACTATAGAACAACCAAACGTTTGGAGGTACTACTCACTCCACAGTATTATTGTTGTTTATTCCCTACTAGAAACTAGAGACCCAATATTTTGAAAGTAAATATATTTGGCGACGTTGCCATTAATTTGTATTTACTCAAAAAGTTTTTTTCATCAACAACAATATAACGAATGACGAAATACTGTGTGAAGAATTGCTTCAAATCAGTTGTTGAGAGAGAATATTATTTCTTGAACTATTTTTGTTGATATGAAGAATTTCGAATCGGAGAAGTCAGGCGATGATGAATATTGAATTCAGAAAATCAACTCGATCTAGATTGTATCATTGTGAATGAACAAAATAACAATCATATCGAAACATTCTGAGTTTTCATAAGGACAAATCAGGTTATCATCTCTGAGATACCTCGAAAATAGTTCATTTTACACATTCCATTTGCATTGACTTACATCATTCGATGGAAATCTATAGTTGATTTTGTTCATTCCACAATTGAAATTTTCCCCACAATATTGGTGAAAACACAATAATGATATCTTGGACATTCAGTCATGGATGATTCAGAACTGACTTAATATTACGATGCTAAGCGATCCAGAGCAAACTTGAATCACTTTTTCTTTGGAGTTCGCAAAAGGAAATCTTTATACACTGTTGAAAACATAAAATAACGAATTTTCAAAGTTCAATGACCTACATAAAAAATAAGACCCATGACCTAATAACAGTTATTAAATGATTTGATGGAGCATGACTTGAAAGCTACACCGTGGACAAATAACGGTCATTTATCATTGCGTGTTACTATAATTGAAGAGTTCTTTCATTCGCCTATATTCTCCGGCACATGACAAACAACCTCTGTTCTCAAATGATGAATGACTCTAGTTGATGATCTTATGATATTTCTCCAAATGAGGCTCCAGAATAGGCGAATATTTTTCGACTCATAATTTTCAAAGGTCTGTCAGTGAAAATCAAATCCATATGAAAATTTTTCGATAAATAGTATTGAGAGTTTCTTTTTCTCCATGATAAACTATCCACTAAATTCAAACTTCACTTCGAAAAAGAATGTGCCAAATAGATTCGCTCTATTCTGAGGAATAATCTGGTGGAAAATAATTCGATTATTATTTTGAAATATCTAGGGTCATTACCTATTTCAATACGAAAGTATTATGCCAATGAATTTTATTTTTCCATCATTCAATATAATTACAATTATTTGACCATTAATCTGACCAATACAGGGTGTCCCGAAATCAGCATGCCAAACTTCAACAGCGGCTCCTTCGACCAAAAATAGGAAGAAAAGTTTCAATGAAATGTCTTCCAAGGAAGCTACGCTCCCCTGAAAGGGGGCTCCTGAATATGATATTTCTTGAATATTTCCGAAACGCCACGTGATAAAATAATGCAATTTGGTACAAGAATTGAACTTCCCATGCCCAATGCGGCGAATATACAATCATTTCAAAGTTTCATTCAGTAGTGTATAATACAGGGTGGGACTACATTAAATATTGCTCAAACTTTCTCGTATGCATATTTTTCGACTATTTGATCTCGAATTATGAAAATCCACACCATTTTCCAACAAAAAGTGCTATTTTTTTGCACCGATCAGATGTATCATTTCCGAGTATAATCGATTTAAAAATTTTGATGCACTAACATCTTATGCATAACGTTGCTAATTCTCGAATCATAGTGAAATAGAAAAATTATGATGAAAGAACTGTTTTTGTTCATTTTCGTCCATTTCCACTACGCCCCATTGCAATGTTATGCATAATATCTGAGATGTAACAATATTTTTGAATTGCTTTCACTCGATAATAATACATCTGATCGTTACGAAACAGGAGTACCTTTTCCTGTAGAGAGGTGCGAAATTTCATGACCCGAGATTGAATCATCGGAAGATATGCATAAAAAATATGTTTAGCATTATTCAATGTAGTCTCACCCTGTATTACACGCTCATGATTGAGATTTTGAAATGATCTCATTTGCACTGCATTGGGCATGGAAATTTCAGTTCTTGTACCAAATTGCATCTCTTCATTACATGGGATGGGGTTTCGGAAGTACTCAAGATCCCCCTTTCAAGGGGTCATAGCTCCCTTAGGAGTCATTTCTCGACTCATGGTCATTGGAAGTTTTCATTTTATTTTTGGTAGTTCAAGCCGCTAGTGAAGTTTGACAGGCTGATTTCGGGACACCCTGATAATATAACCTGTAAGTAACGATGAATTGCTGCAACAAAAATATAAATGCTGCCATGAAATCAGAGAAGAATTTAATCGAACTGAACTATGTGGATGGAGAGGAATGAGGAATATGAGGTACAGAAAATAATACAATGATGGATGAAAATATGGGAATATACCCTGCAATCAGAGTAGTTATTGGTTGAAAATGATATTACTCGAAGATTTCGAATTAAAATATCACTCCTGAATGTCTTGGTCAATCCAAGTATTTGCACACTATTCACCATTAGTTTTTCAAAACCTCACCCAATCACTACTCAGAATCAGTACTCACAACCGTATTTAACAAAGAAAATGCACAACGCGAGAGTTTACAGACCGACTGGACCGTCCTAATTCTGATTACTGCCACGAAGTGCAAGCGGAGTGTGACAATCTAATGAAAACATTGTTGTTCATTTTTACTTAAGACACATTCGTCATAGATCGGTAATCATTTCACCTATGGAAATAATTTGATAACAAGTTACGGTAATAAGATTGAAATTCACTTGTCTGCGGTAATTATCATAGGTTCAGACATTATTGTCATCACAAGAAGACCAATGAGGATAATCGATATACTCCCATTGAGACGTATCTAGTTTTGGCAACTAGTAGGTACTATGCTATTTTCATACGTAACATGAGTGAATATGATTTGAAATTGAAGTCATCAACTCAGACATTATAACAAATTTCAATGTGCGCTTTTCTCTCAGTGTCATGGTCAAAATATGCCGTGAAAAAAATCATAAAGTTTCACTTTGGTCATGATATTGTATCACTTGGAACAACAAATTCCTGTAGGGGAGTTGAAGATAACAATGATAATCAATGATCACTTGGGAAAACTGATAGTCAGAATATTTCTTTCCCTGAGAAATAGTGACCTGACATATCAATACATGTTTTTGATCGAAAATTTTATGAGAGTTCATTCGAGGAAACTATATCAGAATGAAGCTTCTAGAGTGCTACTGCTATTCCATTTGAATTCATCCATCGATTCACCACATCCCATACAGAGATAATGAACATATGATTGACATGAAACATATATTATTCAATTCAAGATTCAAGGGTCCAAGTAATAACAGGAAACTCCATCCAAAGATACACTTAACAATGTGTGTACTTCCACATGCTACACCTATCATCAACCCTTACATAATCGCGCTGGTAACTCGACAATAAGATTATCATAAATCATTTTAAGCCGGCTGTCTAAACATCCACATAACTCCGACAACAAACGACCTATATTGCACACATATATTATCCTTCCCTGAAGTTAGGTGAACTATGAATTTCATATGTTGATGGAAAGATATCTCCGGAAAGGTGATGAATGTCAGTCACGTACAGGGTCAGCAATGAATTGATAATTGACATTTTTCATCGACAGGCATATGGAAACAAATCTAGTATGATCATAAAATCATATTTTCATTTTTGAATCAAACAACCCCTATAACTTCTGCAGTGACACTTCATTCAAGAAAATAAGGTGAATGTTGACATCAAATTCCTAGTTATCCCTATATTCAAAACTCGCAAGATTTGATATAAATAATTGTAGAATTTAAATTTATCTTGATCCGTCCATGATTAAATGGTTGAAGGGATGAAACAGTTCATCAGGTAAAGCTATAGAAGGGGTATGATATCAATGAGCATTGGTATAGGATAAGGCATCGCAGAGGGCCACCCCTATATGTAGGTACGTTATTTTTTTATGTAAAAAATAATAAGCGGAAGTTGGAAGCTGCGAGGAGGCCACAGGCTCCACAGTCCTCATCAAAAGTTTCACACGGTGACTCCTGAAAGTCTGACAAAACACGAATTATATTTTTTTTAAGGAACCCCCTGTTTTTTTTTTTCGGAATGTTTGATTTCTTGTGATAAAAAAAGTATACAATATTACCAGTATGATGTCTCTCATTTTCACTTCATCATTCTCACTTTTTTCACCCCAGGGGAAAAAAATTTT